ATATTACTTGTTTAAAGAATATAGCCTAACTGTCCATATGGGAAAAACTAAATCAATAAAGAAAGTTTATTGTCCATGACATAATAAGAACTAGCATTTAGGTAGCTCTTAAAGTTTGCAAAATGCTTTGCATACGATAATTCCCCTGGGAGGTAGATGCTATTATTGTCTCTGTTTTACAGATGAGGAAACTGAGGCACAGAAAGGCTAAGTGACTTGCCCAGGGTCATATGACTAGGGAAACAGCTGAGGCAGGATTTGAACTCAGGTCTTTCTGACTCAAATCCTGCACTCTATCCACTGTGCCACCTAGCCACCTCAATATGCAGTTGAATAGAAGATCCGGAGGTCTCTCAGCACCTCTATATTGAAGAGAGCCTGTATCTGGATATATGAGCTAGACCCAGAAGTGGAGAATAGGAAGCAAGGAGACTTAAGTGCCTCTAGAAAATTGTGCTGTGCTTTTAATGAACCCCAAGCTTCTCTTGAAATGAAGACCATCATTTTGAGAAAAAAAAAATCCTTCAGCATTGTATAGCTGAACAGTCTAAAATGGAAATTTATGGTTTTATATTGAGTCCTTTCTTTGCTGTGTACATGGAAATGCTTTTTTTTTTCTTGTTTTGTATTTAAGTTTAAAATGAATTTTAAAAAATTTTTAAATAAAGCAAAAACAAAAAAACCATTGTGTGGTTGGGAGTTTCTGAATGCCACAGTCTCTGAAGAATGAAAATCACAGGTTCCTCATCCCTGCAGGTGGGTCAGTGGACAATGAAGAGGTGCATGAGGGGCACAATAAGGCTTCAACATGAAAATCAAAATAAAAAGATGAATAAGAGTTTGGAGGAATACAAATATATTCTATATTCAGGTGAGCAGGTCTTATTCATGAGACCATGTCTGTGGCCAAGAAGAAGTGATGTACAGATTTTCAGCAGAAAACATGGGCCAGTTGTTTTGGGAGGAATGAGAGATAACTAAATGGACCTTTGATAACTACACAGCTTCAAGGGAATCAGAGGAAGCACATTGGATGCACACTCTGTGAAGCCCTTATGGAAGAGCATGGTCAAGGTTTCCATGAGAAGCTAGGAATGGATGGGTCAGGATCTGCATCGTTGGATAAAGTGATCCGATGGATGAAATTGCAAGTACATCCAAGTATAGGTCATGGCTTAAAAAGTATAATGTGTATGTTTCCACTCCCATGAAAATGCTTACAGAACTATAGAACTGAAAAGCTGAACATTGCCTTAGAGATCTCTCTCTGACATTTGACAGATGAGCAAATTGGGGCTCAGTGAGCTCTA